CGAAATGAAAGGAAGCTTTGAGATTATGAATTTGATCCAACCCCATCACTGGCAAACTGACCTCAGAGAAAGTCTGCACTGCTCATCGGGGTTTCATGGCCCCTGGTCCACTTCATTCACTCATGCTACCAAGCTTACCCTTTGGGGCACTAGCCTCTCTTCTCATCCCTTATATCTTGAGGCTACTCCACATTCACCCCCTACCCTGGGCCCCTGGAGGGAGGCAGAGACAGGACAAGAACCAGGCAGTCCCACATGGCCTGTTCCCTGACAACAAGGTCCTCCACCTAGCCACCCCTGTCCCTCCTGCCCATACAGGCCCCCTTAGGTGCCAGAGAGAGAGCTGCCATAAGGCATTCCTCCTATTAACAGACCACAGGGAAGGCCACGCCCAGGATGGGCCTGCAGGCCCTGCAGAGGCCAGCACTGGCCAGAGAGACTGGCAACTTTGATCAAAGAACACTTTCATTTTTAATATTCAGAGTAGAGACTCTGGAGCTCTGCCAGGAAAACACACAACACTCAAACACGCCCCTAATAACCCTCTGTTTGCTTTAGGCTCTGCACATAGAGACCTACCCCTTGTCCCCAATATAAATAACAAGACTTCGCTTGCTGCTGCCAGAGGCCAAACCCAAGAGAAGCATGCAAATGAGGGGAGAGGCAACTACCCCAAACGATGTACACAACTGCTCTAGAGGCTGATCTGGTCTTTCTCTCAAGAGCCATTAAAATGTTCAAACCCCTTGACCCAGTAACCCTGCTCTGGGGAAACTATTCCATAGAAATAGTAACAGAACAGGGGGAAGCAAAACAAAGCATTCTACATACACACGATCCTGGCAGCATGATTCATAATAGCTATGGCACCTCTGGGCTCTCTTCTGGCAGGGTGCCCTAGAGTGGCCTAAAGTACCACCACACTGTGAGGGCAAAGAACAATTTAGTACAGGTAAGGTACCGATTAGGAGAGAAGGCAGATGCTGAAAACAGACAAGCTATGGAGGGATGTTTTTGTTTGGAGAGGACTGTCCTTCAGCTGTCACCCAGCAAGGCAACTGTGGCCCCACCCTGAAAATCAGGCACAGTGTTGGGCGATAAAAGCTCTCTTCTCCTCCCTTATCCAGCCCACCCCAGGCCTCCTGCCCTTCTGGCCACACAAAGAGGACAAGGTCTATTGGAGCACATGACACAAGAAGTGACCATGGGCAGGACAGGGCCACAGCACAGCCCCAGGGGGTGGACAGGCCTCCAAGCAAGCCCTGGCAAACACATCCTCGGAGGGTTTCGGAAAAAGGAGTGGGAGCTCCTTTGTGCTCCCACCTGAAACTGCAGGCCATAAAGCATGGGATAGGCGTCCTCCCCAGCAGAGGCAGCCTCCATACCCGGCCTCTCAGAGGCCACCTCTTGAGACCTCCCTTTTACAGAGAGGTTGTCACTGACATTTTCTCAATGTGGAAAACAGTCCAGAAAGATTCTCCAAGGTGCCTGAGTTGAAGGAGGAGCCAGAGGCAGAATTCAAACACTGGTCTCCGGCCTGGGGTGGACCCCACACCAGCCTCCTGCATCTGGCTCCTCAGGGACCAGCAATCACCGCAGAGGAGTAAAGCTATCTGATGCAGTGGCTGGGGTCTGGCCAGGCTGCAAATGGCTCTGCCATGGCTCTGGGCACTCAGCATTCAAGGGAAAAACTCCTGCAGCCTGCCCCACGGTGGAGTTTAGCCTACAGCATCATCCTGGAAACTCCCTCCCTCAACAGGAGCCCAGCCTCTCAGCTCTCCCAATTGCCTGGAGAAGCCTTCCTCAGCCCTAAAAATTACAATGGGCAACAGGTCTTAGAGGAAGACGGAGCTTCAGAAATAGTATAGTCAAGCCCTTGCCTTAAAAACAATGAGGCCGGAGGAGCTAGAGCTGGCCGGGGATGAGACTTGCATGGGCGCCCCCACCAAGACAGATCAACAGCTATGGCTATGTGTGGCCACCAAGGCCTGCCCAAAGGCCCCTGAGGGATATCTTATAAACAGCCAACAGCTGCTCCAGGCAATGAACAGGTCCAAGTGTTAGTTAAACGAGGCCACTGCCCTGCCGGAGCTGCCATCACATCTGCTCATGTGGTCTGCACCCACTCTCATCCTGGATGCTGCAGAACCTAACCATGGTGCTCTACATTGACAAGTTGAACCCTGAACCCATCCAACCCAAAAACCCATACCTAGCGGGTACTTAAGGAATTAGAAAAAAACTGATATGCCAAAAACAAAACAAAACAAAAAAACCCAGAACTAAAAATAATGAATCATTTGTACTTTCAAAGAAGTATTAAGCTGCCATAGATAATTTCATTAAAGTATATTTACCAAAAGATAGTCATGACATGGCACATGAAAAAAAGTTACAGAACAGCAGGATATGCACAGATACATCTTGATCTGTAGTTTCTAAGTTTTCTACAAACAAAAAATCCCTAATTTATGTAAATATTATTTAAATTGTAAAAGAGGAGAAGAGTAAAGGTTTATGGCAGAGGAGCTAAGCCCCAAAGGACCCATAAGGTAAGAACTAGATTGGCCACATTGGCCATGCTAGGCCCAGATGTTGGGGTATGGGGCCTGCACAGCCAGCCCACTGCCCCTCACCCTCCCAGGGCCCAATCTAACCCACAGACCACTCTGGGAAAGTGGATGGTGCTCAACCCCATCAGGCTGCCCTGAGCGGTAAACTGCCAGCCGCCGCTGCACTCTGCCAAAGAAAGACTCCTTTTTTTCCCCACACGGGGAAGGGTCTCAGGGACAGCTCCATTCCCTTTCAAAAGCTGGGAGACTTTAGCCAAGGAAATTTTAGTCAAGTCACTTCACCTGCCTGCACCCTGGTTTCTTCACCTATAAAGGCAGATCACATCGAGTCCCAGAAGAGAGGTGAAGATTTCCTAAGAGGCGCTTTGAAAGCTGAGAATAGGACACACAAGGTATCAGGACTCATGGCCCACAGAAAGGATCGGGCTGTGCTCCCACCGCACCCCTGTCCAGAAGGGAGGGGCCCAGTGCCAGCACACGGTGAGTCGCCTTCACCACCTTAAACCAGTTCTCTCTTGATTCATTCCCCACATTCCCAGGCCTATTACCGAGAAACAGGGTCAGGAAAAACGAGCCAGTGGCAGGTCCCTGCCTGCTGCTTCAGCAGGAGATCTCCACTGCCCATGACTGGGATATCCCCGGATGTAGATATCCTCTATAGCGGGACTGAAAGAACTCGGGAGGTGTGGATGGGAGCTGCCCTGCTTGGTACCACTAGAGTGGAGCAATGTATGTCAAATCAAGCTGATGTCATGGATCAAACAACCATGATCTGTGATCCACCCTGGTGTATGGAAACCATCACTGGGGCCCAGCATGCAGAGCAGAGACATCTGGCATTGGCTGGACTCAAGGGTTTGGGCACTGGGCCAGGGCTGGGCCTTAGCAGGGGTGGGAAATCTCCACGAGAAGGTCATGCACTAGTGAACTGGGGAACAGATTTTCCATCTCTGAAGAAGGAAGGCTAGTGGCCCCATTTCTTTTGCAATATGTGACACACAGCTTCAGTCAACTATCTCTGATGGCGACCAACTGCTCCAGCTATGTGCAGACCTCCATACAAAGCCATGGTCGGTGGTGGCTGTGGAGGCTGGGAGTTAGGGACTTGCTTGTTCAGGCACTCTCTGGCATAGGAGGAGGTGAGCGCTCCTGGTTAAGTGCCTCCCCGCTTCTCCTCCCACCTGTCAGCCCCAACCCAACAGTGCACCCCACAAGGCAGGGTGGCAATGGCTGTCAGCCACAAACTCTGCCCTAGACACACCTCCATGGCAAGTATCAGTCAACCTCCCATCAGGAAGAAGTGACAGAGCACTTAAAAAAAACAAAAAACAAAAGCAGCTGACACAAACGCCCCTGAATGCCCTCTTCCATGGGCCAGCTTTCCAGGGCTCATCTTATCAGGGCAGTACGCCGGGGGCTGGGAGAAGGGAGCTGCCTTAGAGATGGGTCATCCAAGCCTCTACAGAGTTAGCAACAAAAAGGCTGGCAGAGACAGGGAAGCGTCAGCCCAGAGGAGCAGGGGCCCATCTAGGGGTAGGAATGCATCCTTTCTTCCCACAGAGCCTAGGCTGGACGACCTGCTGGAGCTCACTCCCACCAGCTGGGGATGTGGTTATATGGGGATGGGACAGGATTTATCCCAGGAGAGTAATACAAATTTTAAAAAGGAATCTGAATCTATAGATTCAATGCAATTCTGACCAAACTCTCAGCAAGCTATTTTTTTTAAAATAGCTATTAACAAGCTGACTATAAAAGGTATAAGGAAAGGCAAAAGAACTGTTAGAACAGCTAAAAGAATTCTGAAAAGGTCTCCTCGGGCAGTGGGGCAGGAACACAGGCAGGCAGACAGGTGGCTTGTGAGGGGCAAGGTCCTGGGATGGCTTATAAGGGGCAAGGTCTTGGGATGGCTCCTGCCAATCCTGCTGGATTTTCATTACTTAGCGACAAACCCTGGTCCTACAGTGTTACCTGGTTAGACGAATGAATCTGCAAAATGAGGCCACTCAGCCTATTTCAAAGGACTATCTAATATATCAAATAAGCGAGGCTCTGTGAAGTGGTTCCTAATCACAAACTTCAAGGTCACATCTGCTTATTTCTACTCCCATCCACTGCCTCACATTTCCCCCAACTGTTGCCTTATTTGCAAAGTTGGCACGTGCTTTATGGAAAGGCACGTCCAGAGTCCTTTAACGCTCTCGGGAGGGCCTCACGGTGCCTTCCTTCTGCCCAGAACCACAGCACTAGCTGGGAAGCAGGTATGGCGTCTGCTCTGTTCATCAAGTGAAGCAAGCTTTATTTTCTCCATCTTTGGTTGAAGATACTGAGGCTCACTGAGGCAATGTGACTTGCCTAGGGTTAGAGAATTAATAATTGGCAGGGCTTGGCCTCAAACCCAGGAACCACTTCCAAAGCCTGACCTTGCTCCATCTGTCTCGGTCCTTTCATTTCAGGGACTGCTGCTGGACCAAGAATCTTTTCATCATGTGTTCTTTCCCTAAGTTCCTAAATTTAAAATAAAAAAAAAAAAATTCTTTTTAAGCATGATGAACTAGCTATATCCATATATGGAACTGACCACCAGGCCTCTGCAAGGGACACTGGGTGACCTGGAGGGTGACTGAGGAAGACAGACCCTGTTCTCTGCCAGCTAATGGGACATAGGGAGCCGAGGTACTCACAGGCAGCAGGCCCTGGGATCACTCAGTCATTCAAGTTCAGAGCTGAGTGGCAGTGTGGGATAGAATGACTCAGGGAGGAATCCTGGTCAGGGCAAAAGAGGAGAAACCAGGGAGGAAGAGGAAGAGGAGGGTGCCTCTTCCATCTCCCTGTAGAGCCTGAGTCAGGAGAGCATCAGAGACAACTCAGCCTTTCCCATCCAGATTGGGCCCTGGGTCTCAGATGCAGATCTGTGTTCCTTGATGTCATTCCTGAGATGGTGAGGGGGTCAGACTGGAAGAGGCTCCAAGGGACACTGTATAAAGAAAGAGTTGGGGTGATGTCCATTCATGCCTCCCCAGCAAGAGGCTATACCACCCACCCATTACAGATTCATGCCTCCGGACCTTTGCTGCCCAAACCCTATCCTCTGGATTCCAGACTTAAAAGGCAGGTTCTTCATGAGGCCTTGTCCCACTGAAAGCAGGATGGTGTTAGCTGAAGGCAGCCTAGAGCAGGCACCATGCTCTTCTCAGCACACTTCGGAAAGGCTGGTGCCGGCACGGTGTCCCCCATGGCACCTGGGCTCAACCTAGAGTGACCCTGATTGAAGTGGGCTGTTCTTACCTCCCAGCAGCCGAGGAAGAGGGATGCTTGCTGGCGAATGTCCTCAGGGGTCATCCTTCCAACGGAATGGAAGGTCACCTCTTTCTCTCCAGTGGCAAAGGAGGCTGTGGCAGAAGCTATGGCCTAGGGGGCTCTCTGGAATCGGCTCCCAATCCATAAGCAACCTGCATGAGAGCCCCTTTCCAGACCTGGGGTACAAACAAAAAGCAACATCCTCCTCCCTGGATGGACACAGCTTCTGCTGCATCCTGCTCTTCCTGGGAAGCCTATCTTGCCCAGCCCTGGACCCTGAAGTCTAAAGTGGAGTCCACATGGGTCTGGCCCTGTGTTAGGGCAACCAATGTTCTAATCTGCCTTCCTAAATAACCTGAGCAAGCTCTCTGCTCTGCATCTGTTAAAGTCAGAAGAGTCTGTTTTTCTCTGGGGCCTACAGACACAGGCACAACTCCTTGCTAAGACTAGGTTTCCTGGCAACCAAGGGAGTGACCCAAGTAGCAGGCCCTGCCAGGAAAGGGATGCTAGAAGTCCACCTGCCCAAAGTCACTAGAAGTTCAGCCCCGCAAGCCAAGCTCCCAACTATTGGGAGGCAAACCCATTCCACCACGCTCCATTGCCTCAGAAGAGGCCAGATTAGAGCAAAGCAGAAGAATATGATGAGCTGAAGCAGAACCCAGTTCAATGTCTAGCATGGTTGGTCCCTGGGCTGCAGTGAGAAAACAGAACAGGGCCCGGCACCTGCCCAGCTCAGTGGGCTCAGGACAAGGCCTATGAGCAGGTCTTGTGCTCCACTACAATTGACCTGTAAGACCTAGCAGGGAGTAGGTCCTCACGAGCCAGGGCCTCTTTTTTCTAGAACTCACTGACAGGAACCTGGAACTACACATGCCCTTTGTTTTTTTTTCCACACAGTTTTCATTATCATGTATCTTGGGCACACAGAAAAGTTCAGAGGATAACCTAACACATGTACTCACCTCCTGAAGAGTCAATAAAAGCAACATTTTGCCATATTCAAGACAGGTTTGTCCCCCTCCTTTTTTCTTTTGTTAAAACAAAATCACACATCATTGGCCAGGTGCAGTGGCTTACGCCTGGAATTCCAACACTTTGGGAAGCCGAGATGGGTGGATTGTCTGAGCTCAGAAGTTCGAGACCAGCCTGGGCAATCTGGTGAAACTGTGCTGTTTTGGTACCAAAAAGTTAGCTGGGTATGGTGGTGGTCACCTGTGGTCCCAGCTTCTTGGAAGGCTGAAGTGGGAAGATCGCTTGAGCCTGAGAGGTGGAGGTTGCAATGAGCTGAGATAGCGCCACTGTACTCCAGCCTTGGTGACAGAGTGAGACCCCATCTCAAAAAAAGAATAAAAACAAAAAAAAACCACACATCATGGAGCCTTTCCCTAATCCTGTGTCCTCCCTGCTTCCCCAGGCATGATTCGGAGGCATCACCCCTCATGCATGTATTTACACTTCTGCTTTCGTGTTCTTGGGAGCACCTGACATCTTATCACACACCTGCTTCTTTGTTAACAGCCTGTCTCTCTCCAGAAAATGTCAGCTCCATGAGGGTAGGGGCTGTATTCTGTCCACTGTTGCCTTCCAGGGGCCCACAATGGTGCCCTGCACAGAGCAGACAACCAATAGTCAGTACTTGTTGACTAACACACATATATCATTTTGTATTCCTGCCCTGTATACCTCAATTCTGAAACTGCTTTTTCCATCACTCAACATCACGTTTGAGATTCACAACCACACGGCTCAACATTCAAGTCTCCTACTGCTGTATGACCCACCCACCTGCTAACCAGCGACCCCTCTTTCTCATGGAGGAGGAGGAGGAGGGAGATCAGAGAAAAAAACGCTAACACATCAAAGCCTAGAAACTGGAACTCAGGCTCCAATCAGAGTTCTAGACTTTAGGAACCTAAGAACAAACCAGAAGACCAAAGGGCCTCTAATATGTAGTTATCACAGATTGGGGGAAACTGTGCCAGCGGCCACCCATAAAGCCACACATGTTGGGGTCACATGGCAAAGGAGGAACTAACTGGCCTTCATCTTCCCATCACCAGCCAGGGACCTTCACGAGCTGAGGACTAGGGCCCAACAAAAAGCCCCAGGCCCAGCACCAGCAGACCCACTCACCGTTTAGCACCAGCAGCCTCTCAGCATAGAGCTGACTGCATTTCTGAGCCCAAGCAGGGGCCATGAACTCTGCAGGGCTCTCGGGATGGTGTGAAAGCACTTTGTAAATGGTGTCTGCACTCTGCTCCTGATTACAAAGGCAGAGATGAGGCCCGCATGTGAGGAGGTTCTACTTACACTGGTGAAGGTGAAAAAAGGCTGTGGCATTAGGAAAGCCTGCTCTGGTGTGACTGCCCAGCTTCCTCTAAAGAGTACTCCTCCCCTACTGCTGCCCCTCTGCAAAGCAGAGCCCTGGCGCATCAAGATCTACACCCCTGTGCCTGAAGGAAGCTGCTCAGAGCAAAGGAAATCAAGGCAACCTGTCCAGAAAGACACACAGTCCGAGCCCAGGAAGAGCCCCAGTTCAGAGCTGGGCATGGGAGGAAGCACATCAGACCTCTGGAACTGCTGACATGGAATTGGCAGTCAGACACTGCTCACAAAGATCAGCGGCACAGCTCTGCCCCACCCTGCCCCACACACTGGTTCCTGCAACAGTTCCCAGGCTCCAGGTGTTTGGGAGGCAAAGCAGCATCTGAAGCACTGTGGAGGTTGCAGCCCTCAAGACTGTGGGAGAAGACCTCGTGCTTGCAATCATGAGGGAAGGATACCCAAGACCCTCATGCGTGCTGTGTGTAGGCAACTTAAGTGGACTCAACCAAACGATGGTATTTGGCAAAATAAGATAAATACTACAGAGGGAAGTGAAGCCAGAGGGCGGGGCATAGACAATGAGAAAGGCACCCTCTGACCCGAACTCTATATGAAGACCCAGATGTCAAAGGTATAGGAGAGGAGAAGGATCTCTGGGCTGAGAGGACGGACAAAAGGCTGGTCAGGAGATGCTGAATGGCCAGGGTTGGCAAGGGCCAACCACAGAGGGCTCTGGCTAGAGGAAAACTAGAAGAGGATGGATGAGGCCAGATGGCCCACGCAGAGCTTCACAAGCCAGGTACAGAAGGGGCACAAACTTAGCAAGCAATGGAGAACCACGTCATGAAACGTGTGTGCGAATGGTAAAAAGGCATAATGTAAAAAGAAAATGCTGGGGGCTGAGTAACAGCCAGATGGAAAATGAGGGAAAGGAGGGAGAGAAAGCCTCAGAAGGAGAGAGTTGAGATTTTAAGGTGTGAACAAGGCAGCCACAGGCAGGGAGAAGAGGGGAGGAAAAAGGGCAGAGACTGAACAGAGTTGAGAGGACCCAGAGACTGGGAGACTGATGAGTGCTGGAGTGGAGGGTAGAGCCTGGAGCTGCACATGGGCATTACCGGTGCTTCTCGCCTTCTTCCTCCTCTTCTCTAAGTTGCTTGGTCTTTGGCTCCCCATCTTCCTTGTCCTGCAAAGGGAGAAAACCACCAGCTCAGCTGAAAGCTCCTACTTCCAGTCCATGCAGCCTAGGGAGCCAACAAACAGGACATCTCAGAAGCCAGGCACCTGGCACGGCCCAGCTTGGGGTCCCAGACTCCAAGCAGGGTATGTGCCTGCTGCATCTCACAGCACAACTGAAACCTCACTGCCTGTGCAGAATTTAAAAATCCATGACTCCAGCCCAGTCCCAGGTACATGGTGGCCCTTAGAGGACACTAGCAGAAAGAGCTGGATAGCTTCAGGTGGTAAGAAATGCAGCCACTTGGTGCCATGGAGGGGCCATGCTGGCAGGCCACCAGTCACCTTCACGGGTCTGGATGGAACCACCTGCTAAACTTGGAAAGACAGGGAAAAGAAGCACCAGCAGCCAGGGCAGGATGAGAGCTCAGGCCTCCTGAGACACTATTCAGGCCAGAGATCTCTCCAGAAATACCTGTTTGGTTTACTTGAGAAGTAACATGAACTAGGACCAGACTTACAACAAGACTCACTGCCCAGGCCTGTGCTATATGCAGGGAGACAGAGGCAAGGGGAATTAGTGTGAAGTTTCCATGAAAACTTTCTTAATCTGGTTCTTTTAACTTCTACCAACTGCATCTCTTAAGTCCAGAGAATCATGTTCATCTCAACCTTGAGCTGTCATTCTTGTTCTCAGGTGCCCTGAGGGCCACAATAGAAGGAAATTACCATACTGCTTTTACCTGCAGCAGAAAACATCTTCCTGGAGTCCTCCCTTGTCATGTGACTGCCACTGTTAGGTCAGCCTGCCATGGTCACACTGACACAGGGCGTGTGTGTGCATGCTCAATTCATGTGACCACGCCTTAGGCCCAGGGCATGGACTGAGAGGCCCCAGGACAGAGCCGTCATGGGGGTCTCACTGCATGCCAGCATTGGCTCCTCCAGAAGGTGACAATGCTCACTTCACTATGGCAGCACCCTGCCTTCAACTCTCACAGAGCACTGTTCTGAGAGAGATTTGTAAGCTCCTTCCACAGGGAGCCTGCTCTGATGGACACAGAATGAACTGGAGCTTGCACAGAAATTCTAAGTAAAACAGCTGCTCAAACTACCTTTCTTAGACATTTATTTATGCCATTGACAACTTCGTTACTAAGAGTGGTATCTGCTTTATGTGGAGACTGCAAGCATCGACCAGACCCCGCCATTCCTTGGCCACACAACCTCTGGGGAGCAGGCTACCAAAACCAGGTTGGAGGCCTGGCCCAGAGAAAGGCTTTTGTCATGTGAACAGATCAAGATGCCCACTGACCCAATTCAGGGCAGCTCATCTCATGGCAACAAGGCAGCAGGAACAAAATAACTGACCACGTGACAGCAGCTACATGGGAGAGGTCATCATGGAGCATGGTTCTTGGGGGATGGGTGAGAGATGGGCTGGGCAGAATTGGGTGATGCAGGATAGGGAAATGGGAGCGGGAAGGGCAGAGTTTGAACAAAGGCAGGGTGTAGTCTGAAAAGCCTGCAGGTGATGGGTTGGGGGAGGGGGTGACGATGATTGCCAGGTAAGATGGTCAAGGCAGGCAACGGCTGAACACAGAGGGCTCTGGCCAGTGTTCTTAGGCAATGGACAAACAGAGGAGACACTGGGGAAGAGTCCGCCGACCTCTGCTGGGCAAGACGCTTCATGATGGCCAAAGAGGGAAGGGAGAACAGAGAACAAACGCTTCACAGAAACAAGTGAAGATTCTCCAAATGGCTCCCAGGGCTGCTGGAACCTGGATGGGGCTTCCACAGGGGCTCTGCTGACACATGCAGCCCTCCTTGAGTAAAGGCCAACAGATAAAACAAGCCAGAACCCACACATTCTAGCAAAAAGTTCCTTCCCAACTCCCAACCAGCGGACACCCTGAAGGCCACTCCCTGAAGCACCTGCCTCACGGGAAGGAGTGGCAGACACCTGCCCTCTGGGTAAGGGCAGAGAAGGAAAAACAGAAAGAGCCCTGCTTTCCCCACAGTGGGCTGGTGGGGGTAAGACCCCCAGCCACACAGGAAGACTCCTTTCCTGAACCACCTGGCAGAAGCAGGTGGGAACTACAGGCAAGTGTCCAGCCTTTGGGAGGAGTTCTTTGCAAATACCATGCCCTTTCTCAACTCTCAAGCAAGGTCAAACAGCTGCCACCACCCTCCTGGTGTCCCAGAGACATTCAAGTGCCTCAGTAAAAGCCAAGTTATTCATTAATAAATGAGAAAACACCCAACAATCTAAATGACTTTTTTTAAAAAAATGCCCAGCAATCCGGTGGGTGGGGTACAGCACTAGCTCTGCAGACAGCATGAGGTTAAAAATGACCCCAGCCTGGGTGCAAAGAGCAGGGGCTCAGAAAAGATAAAGATCCACATCTGTGGCAGGAGCAGGTGAACAAATGCACAGGCCACATAAGTGGGGGAGATGAGGCGGACCCCAGTCTTCCTCATAGAGAGTGATTCTCAGATAGGACAATGGGCATTCATGGGAAGGAAAATCGCTTTTAGTGACGCTGGCCTGAATCACAAGGTGTGGCCCCTTGCTGCCTGGGATAGTGGAGGGAAGTGCAGATCAGTCTTGAAGCTCACCCCTACCTGAGAGACTGAAAGAGCCTCAGCCCTGGAGGGCTCGCAGGATCACCCATTCTAGGTCCTCAATTTAACCCATGGGAAAACCTGGGAAATGGCAGTCAGGAAAAAGGAAAAGAGTTATCCAAAGTCACAGAATCCATCAGTGGTAGCTGCAAGTCTGGATCCAGGTCATCCTGATGACCGGCCCTGCATTCTTGCAAAGAGATGAGAGCGAGAGAGAGGCTCTCAAGAATGGAAGGGTGGCACTGAGTTTCTAAAGAGCTCTGATTCCACCCGCCTCTCCTGTGCTCCCCACACAGTTCAGACCTGGCCCCATGTGCTCACATGCAGCCACAGCCAGCCCAAGTCCAAGCCTTGGCACTGCTAGATACTCAGTAGGAAAGCAGGCGGGGTCCCAGGTGCACAGTCTCCCCAGGAATCTAGAGACTTCGCTGACCCTGAGACCCTCAAATCAGACTCAATGCCTCGTCACCCCCACTCCCCACCCTTCCCAAATCTCACCATCTTCTCCCTCCTTCCCAATCCCTAGTCTCCTCTACCACCTCCTTAGGGCCCCACCACAACGAAGCCCCCAGCCATTCCCCTCCACTCTTGCATGCCAGCCGGCCTTCCCCTCTACTCTTGAGGATATAGCTGCCTCTTGCATTTTCCCTCTCTTTTTCCAATACATCTCCCCTAAGTCTCTCTCCATCTTATCAATCCACATTCCTGGCCTCCTCTTCAAAGACACTGGTCAGACCACACTGCACTTCTGCTCAAAGCTTTCCACACCTCCAGGACAACAGCCACTCACCTAAACCTCACACCGGCCTCACCAGAGGAGGTCATCTCCTAAGGCCCCATCGCCATCCCACGCTTCTTTCACACTGGCCTCTGTCCAGAACACTCTTACACCCCACTTTTTGTCTCAAATCCTGAAATATCTACTCTGATAACCTCCAAGAAAACACACCATCTGGCCAGCTCAAAGGCCACCTCCTCAGGCAGCCTTCTAAGATTCCCAGGCAAAGGAATCCTCTGGGCCTCCCCAGTGCATATCAGGGTCTGATTGCAGGCCCAGGGCACACACTCCTAGTCACATGTAGGCTTTACTACCCCTTCAAGAACCTCTCAGCAGGGGACATCTCCTAGAGCATCTCAAGGCCTAGCCCAGAGCCTGGGCTAGACAACCTTCAGAAACTCCACCAATTTAACTGCTACCCTCTCCACCAACTCCAGAAGAGTCAAACTCAGGAACGCTGGTGGCTGCAGGGCAGTAGAGTCATGCCCTGGGCTGGGGCCCTCCCCATAGCCTACTTGCCTATTAATGGAGGCACTCCCACATTTTTGACCCCTGCCTACATCTCCACGTCTTACACCCCTGCCCTCACCTCCCCACAGAACCTTCAGGAGGAAGAAGCCGTTGTGGCAGGATTTCAGGGGTTCTCAAATATAGCCCTGCTCAGGACAGAGTTTGACTGACCTGTTTCCTAATGTTTGAAATCCTTTTTATTAGGGACAAAACTGTTACAAATAAAATTAGAACTGTGTAGAATTGGTATTATTTCTTCCTTAAATATTCAACAAGACTTCAGTGAAGCAATCTTGGCCTGAAGTTTTCTTTGGGAAAAGATTTTTGCTATAGAACTATACAGATTTTCTATTTCTTCTCCAGTCAGTGTAGTCAATTTATGTCTTCCAAGATGTATGTTTCACCTAAGTTACTGAATTTACTGGCACGAAGTGACTTATATTGTTCTCTTAATTTCTTTTCAATGTCTGTACGATCTGTAGTGATGTTCACTGATATTGATAATTTGTGTCTTTTTTCTTTATCGGACCAGCTAGAGGTTTATCAGTTTTGGGACATACCTCCATCTCATCTGCTCAGACTCAGGGTTTCAACATGGGTTTGCTCCTCAATCTCCACTCTCTGGAAGGAGCCCTCATTGGATGAGTACACCTGCCTCTGGATGGCACATGAAGTGTGGAGGCAGCATCAATCCACATTGCTGCCTGAATGTAGGACTATTGCTAAAAGCCGGTCAATCAACAACCAGGCCTACAGAAGAGAGGGAGGAAGAAAAGAGGCTGCTCTATGTCCTCCTGTTGCCCCGTCCCACCCAGATTAAGATGAAGATCTCTCTTTCCTTGCACCACATCCCCACACCCCACCGACCCCACTCTCCTTTGTGGGCCAGGTCTACCTTGGGCACAAAGATAAAGAAAGTAAGAACACCGTCCTCAAGAATCTCAAGTCTACTCAAAGGAGCAGACTTAGAAAATTTAACTCTGTGCCGTAAATAGTGAGGAAAGTTTTACTAAATATCTTGTACACTTAGGGAATTAGTAAATGATAGGTGTTGTCAGGGAAGGAAGTAACCCTTAAACTCAATTCTGAATGTCCAC